TCTTGGCAGGGATGGGGTGGAGATCCGTGGCAGGGTTGGAGGATGAAGACAACTGTAGGCAACTAAGGAGGATAACAAGCAAGAGATAAAAAACAAAAGAGAAGAAAATAAAGGAAGAAGATAAGAAGCCGCGATGCTCGGGACTCGTTTCAAGGACTGCGCGGGGGTGATCTTTGCCCTTCTCAAGGGACTTCAATTCACGAGCCCGGCGCATCCTGCGTCTGGTGACAAACTTTGTTCTTCCCTAGGAATTCACTTCGTTCTTCTCTCAATAAGAACACAAGTGTGACAAAATTTTATTATAATCTCATCCCTAATACAAGAGAAGAGCGCTCATATATAGGACCTTAGAAAGAAATTAAAAAGACACATTTGCCCCTTGGGCTACGTAAGGCAAGAGCGAGTAAAAAGGGAAATTGCACAATTAAATCAAAAATACACTTAATAGACATAAATAAAATAAGTATCTCAGTCGTCGAACTCTTCAGCTCCATCGATAGGCAATGGACCGGTTGGAGTGTTAAGCTCATTCTCCCGGGGTGGAAAAGACGTCGACTCCGTCGAGTCGGTCCCGGTGAGCAGAACCATGCTCTGATAGCCAAACTGTGTAGAACGCAGAATGACGGGCTTGCTAGGGAGAGCTTTGAAGGCAATAATCTGTACGATTCACCTATCAGGAAATCTGAAGACAATTTCAGCATTTGCTCACAAAAATCTGAGAGAATTGGAGTGGAGAATAGCGTTCAGCGGCCCTTTCCGCATATTCTGAGAATTACTTCAGGTTTCCTTCGAACCTGAGAGGGAAATCTGCAAGTTCAAGTAGTATGGGTTGAAACAACCTCAGATTTCCTCTCCGAGGATCTGAGAAAAAATTATTGTCTCAGTTTTATAGTGACATTAGGAGAAGTATGAGGAAACAGATGAGAAAAGGCTTAAGAAATTAGTGGGGAATAAAGGAGAAGAGGAGGATCCGGGGAGTTATTTGATTGTAGTTGTGATTATTTTCAGATGAGAGGTTGTGTTCTGGGTGTTTTTATATGTGTAGTAATTGATGGGTATGTGTCTTGTGTTATTGTCGTAGCTTTTCTTCTAGTTTGTGTAATGAGATGTATTTTATGGCTAGAAGCTATATTATTGTATGTATTGTATTGTATCTGTGAGAGGAAGATTTCGCAATCCACCGGTTCTTGTTTAGGGAGAAAAATTGAATCCAATAAAGAGGAGGAGGGGACGCGTAAAAAAGAATAGAAAATCTGATGATTCTATTCCAAACCAGTTGTAATTGTAGGATGTTGTTTATTTTTTAGGAAATAAAAAAAATCTTATGGAGGCAATGTAAGAGGATTTGTGAAAACTAGTTTCCGAACGCAATATTGGTGAGGGAAATAGGAAACAATTAATGATTAATAGAAGCCAAGGTGGAGGGTTGAGGTGGGCCGTGGCTCCAAGGGGATAGGTGTAGATGCAACTCATATTGTGAGTTACTGTAATTGGGGGATTAGGAATTTAGGAATAAACAATAAGATTCGTATTGAATTTGCAAATTCAAATAAATCGGATTTCGGTAACTTATCCAAAAAATTAGAATTGATAAATTAGGAAAAGAATTCAAATTTCAAATTAGTTATTTTGAATTATATCTTGCCCTATTATTTTTTATTTTTTTTCATCTTCCAAATTTGAATTGAATTAATCGTTATATGTGTGGTAGATGAGGATTCGAATACTTTTCCTAAAATAGCGATTTTCTAAATTTAGGAAACTTATTGAAATTCAAAAATGTGAATTTCGAAGGATGAGTAATTTCGCTAAAGATATTTTGAACTCTTTAGCGTAAGCATTAAGGTGACATTGACTCCTTATTTCATGGAGACAATACAGAGGGTGCGTCGGCGGTGGAGGAAGCTAATGGGGAAGGTGGAGGGCTTAGACTCTGCGGCCAAACGAAGATGGGGAGGGGTAAGAACGATGAGGAACAAAAACAATGTAAAGAAGGTATAAAACGAAAGAGAGAACTAACAAAACCGCGAGCCTTGGCTTCTGTGCCAAAGGACTGACGGTATACTACGTTGGCCTTTCTGCCCAGGGACTTCACGGCCACGAGCCGGACCCGTCCGCAGCTAGTGGAAACTTCGAGCTCCGCTCCCATAGGGATTGTCACTAACGCTCTCTTCTCAAAGAACACAGTGCAAACAAAATTTTGATAATAATCCTCATCCCTAATACAAGAAAGGGGCCTCTGATATATAGGCCTTAAAAGAAATTAAAGACACATTTGCCCCTTGGCTTACAATAAGCAAGAGGTAAAAAGGAATTGGCACAATTAAAATCAAAAAATACACTTAATAGACTAAAATAAAATAAAGTGATCTCGGTCTTCGATTTCAGCTCCTCGTAGGCATGGGACGGTTGGGATGTCCGCAGCAAGGAATGTGCCCTTTATTATAGAGAAAACTCTTTATATATATGACCTTCTCTTAAACTAACGTTGCTAGTGAAGTTGGGAAGTGAAGCGGGATTATGCACTGCTAAATATATTTTGGGATATGGATACTTAACCTCTTAACCCCACGTCTGCTGGTGAGGAGGATTTTGCACAACTTAAACATGGTGACCTGTTAGACAACTAGGTT